ATCACTTTGGGTGAAGGTCAAGACAGAGTGACAGCCCATGACACAAAGAGGATTTCTAGAGTTGGTAGTGAGGAGGAGGAGAACACCCATCCTAAAGGTTCCAGAAACCACTAAGAAAGAGAGCCCTGTGGGTGCTCACACCTTGCTGGTGGGYGAGTGAACCAAAAAGGTTCCAATAGCAATTTGCCTGCACACAGGTGTTATATTTGAATCTGAAAGGCACCACCCCCCTACCAGGCTTATGTTGAAGTCTTGGTTCTCAATGCAACAATGTTCAGAGGTAGGGCTTTTGGGAAGTTATTAGATCATAAGGGCTCTGATTATATTAGTGGATTAAGCCATTGATGAAGTTATACTTTGATGGACTATTGGGAGATTATGGAAATTTAGGAGATGGAACCTMGTTGAAAGGAGTGGGTCCTTGGGGCATGACCTTGGGGACTGTATCTTATCCCTGGACTTTCCTCTCTCTTGGCCTTCTGACCACTGTAAGGTGAGCAGCTTCCCTCCACCATGTGCTCCCTGCTGTGATCTTCTTCCTCATCCCAGGCCCAGAAACAACAGAGTCAAGCAATCAAGCAATCTTAAACTGAAGTCTCTGAAACCAGGAGCCCAAATTCTTTCTTCCTGTTGAGTTGTTTACCTCGGGTATTTTATCAATAGTGATGGAAAGCTGACTAACACAATAGGAAGAGCTCTGACACCAACAACTCACTATGACCCCTTTTAAAGGAACTGATTAGTTTTCAGGATAATATCTTAAGAAATAATATAGACTGAAGGCCATGATTAATGTAGACCATATCCTGATATTTTCAAAGCAAAATGTTAGGAAAAATGAAATACCCAGTAGTGGTAGGGATTTTTGCTCATTGCTTAAGTGAATATCATATAGCTATTCCAATGATATTCTAAAAGTTATTTAAAAATGATGAAAGGAGAAAATATACATAATATTAATTTAAAAGAAGTAAAAACCATATATAAAAACCATAAGTACAGTGTTATACCATCATGAGTGGTTCTAATTTTTAAAAATATCATTTTCCATTAAAATAAGCATAGATTCCTTTTGTAAAAGTGAAAATGAAACAAAAACAGAAATCCTTTAAAAATTCTGGTGGCACTGTTCCTAAATAAACACAAGAGCRAAAGTGCATAAGATCCAGATGAACACAATTAAAAGAAGCCAGGTGCTGTAGGGAGTGCTGTCAGAGCCCAAGTCACATGGAAGTCGAGAGAAAATAGAAAATAGGCCACTGAGTTTRTTTAAAACATCACAGTATAATAGCCAAGACTTATTGAGTGTATGTTATAAGCCAGGCATTGGGTTAAACATTATCTAATTTAGTCCTTGTAAGACAAAGGTCTTTTATAAGAGAAGTGTTACTGTTAGCTCTGTCTGAACCATGAAGAAACTATGGTCCAGAGAAGTCAAACCGTTTCCCCAAGATTACACAGCATAGTAATTGTGCAGCACTGAAGCAGAGAATCTTACCACTGTGTGTTACTTCCTGGTTGCTTAGGTATTTGATTCTCCTTTTTTTCATGTTTTTTATTGGTGCATTATGGTTGTTTGAAATGGTGGGGCTTGTTGTTATGTATTCCTACATGCACACAATATAACAATGGAATTTGGCCAATATCACTCCCTAGTAGTTCCCCTTTTCCTCCCTGTGGTCCCTTTCCTCTACTCCTGATCTCTCTTTTTCATGAGACTCCCCCACCCAATGTTTTTTGTTCCTTTTTCCTCTCTAGCTTCCACATAGGAGAGACAATATATGGCCCTTGGCTTTCTGAGTTTCATTTATTTAGCTTAACATGGTGTTCTCAAGTTCTATCCACTTTCTTGCAAATGACAGAATTTCATTCTCCTTAGTGGCTGAATAAATCTCCATTGTGTGTATGTATATACCACATTTTCTTTATCCATTGGTAGATACCTACGCTGGTTCCATAGTTTGGCTATTGTGAATTGTGCTGCTATGAACATAGGTATGCATGTCTCACTCTAGTCTGATGACTTTTATTTTTTTTAAAGGGGCAAAACCACTAAATATTAGTTAAGCAGGAGAGCTTTGGGTTTGTGGTCCTCCCCTTCTTCTAACATTATGACATCTTTAAAGCTAGTAGAAAACAAATGTGCAGAGAGGGAGAAATAAAACAAGGGTGTTAGACTGGAAGAATGTTTGCTAGCATCAAGGGTGGCACAAACAGGCTACTGACGGGTGAGACAGGGACAGGCAGCTGCTTTGAGATCATCTGTGAGGCAGCATCCTGTGGACCACTGGTGGTTTTCAGGTGAAGATATAAATGGAGTGTGATCTTCTTGACATTTGCTGAAAGTGTCGGGGTGGGGATCCAGGGACAGAATGTGCTGTAGAGGCCTAGAAGAGTGATACAGAGGGACAAGCCAAGCCTGAGGCCAGGCTGCTGTAGATGCCTTGTTGGGCCGGGTTGGTGGACTCTGTCCAGGAGCCCTCTGTGGTCAGGGGCTGAGAGCAGGGAGTGTCGGGTGGTGGAGAAGTTCCAGAACCTGGAGAGAAACCCTGCGTGGCCAACACTGGATGAATGCCCTGAGAATGGGGGATGGAGGATGGGGTGGGGCACCCAGGGAGTATGGGTCAGATGGTTTGGGGGACCAGGAGCTGTTGGGGGCAGTTTGTGATTGTGAGAGGTGAGAAGCAGGGAGGCAGAGGTTTGGAGATCTTAGAGCTGCAGCCCTTGCTGTTCAAAGCCCTGGTGACCGTGTATCTGAGGGACAGTGAGATCAGGTGACTCACCAGACCTCTCATGGAATGCATGAACTCTGACGATGGTAGCAGAAGGTGGTGAATAAAGGAAGAAGCCCCTGACCCAGGAACTAACACAGACTAGGGAGTGATTCTAGCAAAGATTGGAGAGGGGAATGGGGGTGAGAGGGGTGTGGGGGTGAGAGGGTTAGGAGCAGATGCAGGCTCAGCTTGGACAGATGACAAGATTGCCAAGTGCTGAGATGTGGAGTTCAGAAAGAGGTGGGGCGAGGGGTGGGGTCAGAAGGAGAACATAGGAACAAGGAGGAGGACCTTTCTTCCTCTTTCCCTATGAGAAGGGACAGGGCCAAGATGAAGTCAGATTCATTGTGCATCTTTCATGTGTCAAGCACCAGATGCTCAATTAATATTAACACAAATTTTAAACTTTAAAATTTACTCAAAACCTATTTTACAGATGAAGAAATGGAGACTTGGGGAGGTTAGGTGCCCAAGGCCACCTGGTTTGTATATGAGGGAATCAATCCTGACTGTTGAGCACTGATGCCCACAGTGTTCCCAGTAGTGAACTTTGGTGAAGCCCCCATGACCAGAGGCAGGAAGTTGCCACCCGGAATGGTGGAGAAGGTAAACTGAGTTCCTCCCAAGTGGCTTCTGCCCCAGGTCCTTGACGGAGCCCTGCTGAGGAGGGAGAGGAAGGCAAGGGAAGGGCGAGCCCGAGGGGTTCCATGGGCTCAGGTCTGGAGAGACAGAAAAGAGGGACAAATTTSAAAACAAGATGTCATGGTGTTAGGCCAGTCAGCGTTGGCCTGCTGCTTCAGTCTCCAGGGAGGCCCATGGTGCTCATGAACTCAGCACTGTGGGCTTAGCTGGCTGCAGGGCTGGTGCAGAAAGCACTGGGGGGTTGAATTCCACACATTGCTTCTCATTCTCGCTGGGGAACTTGCAAAGGATCCAGGGACCCTGGCAGACCACAGCACAGAGAGCAGGCCCAGTGGGATGCTGTGCTATKGCTATCACCTTGACTCTCCCTCCTCCCACCCAGGGAAGAGCCATCATAAACAGGGAAACCAAACAGTATCTGGAGATCAGGAAGCACTCTTCTGGTGCCTACATGCTTGTGCTGCAGAAGTGTACCATGCAAATGTGGGAAATTCAGTACGTCCTCAGAAACTGGGATCAGACCGATGTCCAGTGAGCCTGCAGAGTCTGAATTTGGGACACCAATTCTCACAACTGGAATGGCATCTACCCCCAATGCTGTGCAATGTGGGAGAGGGTGAAGGAAAGGAAGTGTGTGTGTGTTTACTGTGATCTCAGCATGCAAGACCCAGGACGTGGAGTCCTGTGCACGTGTCAGGGCACCATGGCTGAGGACCGGAGCAGAAACTGATGCCTTGTGCCCAGCTTCCCTTGGAAGATCGTGATATCTATCAAATGCCATTCTTGGAAACTCCTTGAAATAGCCTGTCTCATCTGCTTGTTCTGTGGAAAGTGRAGGAGGAAGATGGAAGTTTATCTCTGACTTCCACCAACGCTGTTTAGCCTTCATTCCAACAGCTACTATCGCCACCTGTCCCACACCTCCTCCCCGACTCAGTTGCTCAGAGACTCCCCAGACTGTTCCACGTGAGAGGCTGGKTCCTCCTCATGCCAGTGGCAGTGTGATCACCATCCAGGTGGCATGACCTCCCTCTCCTTTCTGGACTGTTCTGAAAGATACAACAAGTAGACCAGTCACTTTAACAAATTCCTCCCTTTGTGTGCCCCCTACCCCATGGCAGCTTTATTGGAATTACCAGAATCTCCCATGAAAAAGAGATTGCAGAGGCTGAGGAGAGGAGGGAAAGAACCTCACCCAATCATAGCTTTTCAAGGGCTAGTTCACAGAAAATGGTAGAAAGATCCAATTCCTTGTGAATCTGTTCATAATGTCTGCTGATTAGATCTCACTTATTTCTTTCTATTGCCCCCGAAAATTATGGAGAAAATGAGGATTAGAACAGATAGCCATCACCTATTGGGGCACAAAGAAGGTATTTTCAGGCAAAAACTTTAAATCAGGATTCTTATGTCTGTTCATTGGGTAAATCCTTCCCTGTAGTTATCCAGGGCTACCAATTTTGGGTGAGATCTTGGGGACCCAGGTGTGTGCTGTGTTGTGGGCTTACCCAGGAAGTATGGGCTCCTGGGTTGCCTTCCTAAGAGGCTGCTTTCTCCTTAGTCCCATGTCAGGGGTCCCTGGGAATCATGAGTTTTCCTTTAGGTATTAGGCAGGAAAGACACTGGTAATCTGGCACAGAATTAAATTGGCTAAGACTTTTAAAAATMAGCTTTAGAAGTGTATCATAAGTATGCAGCTTGATCAAAACTTCACAGTGAATAAACACATGACTATCAACAATTAAGAATTATGGTGAATAAGATCCTATTGTGTTAAAAATTAAATGTTAAGCAAATGTATTACTTCTGGTTTCTTCCTGGCAAACTGAAGGGAAAATAAAATTGAGAGCAAAGGTTTTAAAAAGCATGTACACGGGCTGGGGATATGGCTCAAGCAGTAGTGCGCTCGCCTGGCATGTGCGGGGCGCTGGGTTTGATCCTCAGCACCACATAAAAATGAAATGAAGATGTTGTGTCTACTGAAAACTAAAAAATAAATATTAAAAAATTCTCTCTCTCTCAAAAAAAAGCATGTACGCAATAGAAAAGCAGGCAAAAGACACACTAGGTTTACATATATAAAAACACATTTGACCTCATTCACAGAGAAATGAAGATTAAAAGTGAACTGAGATAATTTTTCATTTAAATTGGCAAAAGTAAAAAAAAAAACAAAACAAAACAAAAAAACACAACAGCACATTCCATGGGAGGAATATGGAGACTGGCGGTCTCGTGTTAATGGGAGGACGCAAAATGGCACACTCTCAGTTGGTATTTGGCAATATCTAATTCTTTGCAGTACTGGGTGTTTGTGAAACATGTTGGAGGTAAACTGTGTACCCAAACTTCAGAGGGTGCTAAATAAATCCACACAGTGGGGTATTACATGGCTGTAAAAAGGACCAGGAACATCTCTCTGAACTGATATGGAGTGATTTYGTGTATATTTTGCTCAGTGAAAAAAGAAAACTAGCATCTATAAGTATGTATCCTTTAGGTAGAAAATAAGGAGAAAATATACATGTGTCTGTTCTTTTCTGCAAAATAAAACCTGAGAAGGATAAACCAGAAACTATTGAGATTRTTACAATGGATGGTGGTGGTTGGGAACAGGGTGCCAAGGACTGGGGAACAGGATAGAAGAGATGCGGGGGGAGTGGCATTCTCATAAGTAGATGATTTTCCCTTTGAATTTGACATTTAGAATCATGTTTCATATGTTCAAAATAAAAATACATAAAAATCAAATATAGAAACCAAAAATGGATTATAAACAAAAGTAAGCGAATCTAGCCATATATCTCTACTTTAGATGAACACTTCTCTGCACTTACACACATACACCGAGCATACCTAGCATTCGACATTCAGTCCTTCGTTTCTAAATACTTAGAATTAGGACTCCTTAGGGAAATAGCTAATTTTAAGATTCTGGCTCTAATATCTTCCTGTGTTGAAAGAAAGGAACTTCTCAAAGAATGGTAGGACAAGTTACAACCCACAGTAACCAAGTTGAAAGGGGTTCCACTGGCTAAATCTGGGACAATTTGAACATTAAAATTAATGTTGATCACAATAGCCAAAGAATAAGATAAGAATACATGAGTTCTTTCAAATGAATAAAAGAATGAATGAGGAGTAGGGAAAGTTCTTCCTTACAATAAAATGCCAATTTAATAATTGTTAAAGGGATTAT